GGGGGGGGAGGGTATGGCATTAGGAAGGTTGAGAACCACTGTTTTCAAGTCTCTCTGTACTCACCTTCTAAGAACAGATTACACTTAATACAATTTTCCCTGGAAAGATAATAATACATTTCTTTTGAAAAATGTATGTTTTTATTTTTATTTACTTATAATAATTGTGTGTGTGTATGGGGGCTATATGTGATGTTTTTAATACAAGCTTGCAATGTATAATTATCAAATCAGGGTCATTAGGATATTCATCAATGCAAACATTTATCATTTTTTTGTATTGGAAACATTCCTGATCTTATACATTTATTTATTTATTATTTATTTTTGAGACAGAGTTTCACTCTTTTGCTCTGGGTAGAGTGCCATGACATCATAGCTCACAGCAACCCCAAACTCTTAGACTCAAGCGGTCCTCTTGGCATAGCCTCCTGGGAGTATAGGTGTCTGCCACCATGCCTGGCTAGTTTTTCTATTTTTAGTTGAGATGAAGGTCTCACTCTTGCTCAGGCTGGTCTTGAACTTTTGAGCTCAGGCAATCCACCTGCCTCAGCCTCCCAGAATGTTAGGATTACAGTTGTGAGCCACCGTACCAGCCATGAAATACAACAATTTTTATTAACTATAGGCAACAGAAGGCATTATTTCTAGTACAGATGCTCCTTGACTTGTGATGGATTATGTCCCAGTAGAACCATCATAAGTTGAGAACATGCTAAGCCAAACTGCATTTAGTACAGTGCAGGTGTCAGTTTTGATTGTGTGGCTGCTGAGAGTCACGACTTGCTGCTGCCGCTCAGCATCGTGCCAGAGGATCATACTGCATATTGCTAGCCCAGGAAAAGGGCAGAATTCAAAATCTGAAATGTGGTTTTTACTGAATGTGTCTTGCTTTCATCCCATCTTAAAGTCAAAAAAATCATAAATGGAACGATTGTAAATTGGAGACTGTGTGAGTTATGCCACTAACTTGAGACACTGATCGCACCTCTCTGGTCTCATGTTCCTTCCTTGCAAAATAAAGCGGTTGGGAAACGTGCCCCAAGAGTCAACTGTCGTCAGTCTGGTGGATGACTGTGAAGGGAAGACGCTTCCATAAGATAATAAGAATCCGTGTCAGTACCTAGGACCATATCCTCTTCATGTGAAGCCAGATGGATCTGTTACAAAATGTAAAACTGTATCTGCACTATACCTTTATCTTTATCAAATTAAAAATATTGATTAGGTACATGGTATATGTTTATGAGATCTTTTTTTGTTTTGAGACAGAGTCTCACTTTGTCACCTTGAGTAGGGCGCCATAGCATCACAGCTCACAGCAACTGCAAACTCCTGGGCTCAAGCGATTTTTCTTGCCTCATCAGCCTCCCAAGTAGCTGGGACTACAGGCACCTGCCACGATGCCCAGCTATTTTTAGAGATCGGGGGTCTCGCTCTTGCTCAGGCTGCTCTCGAACTCAAGCAATCTACCCACCTCTGCTTCCCAGAGTCCTGAGATTACAGGCGCGAGCCACCACACCCATCCCATGTCATAAGATCTTAAGAGCCCACTTGGTTCTCATAGATGATTAGGTTTGGTTTTCTGTTAACCTTTGTGAAAGTCCATTTGCTGCAGAATGCAAATGGGATTCAGAGTGAGCGCGCTGTGAATCAGGGAGGCCCCGCTGTCTGACTCCCTCAGGCAGCCGTGTGACCTAGCACCCTCTTGGTGGTGAGAAAGTGCACACATTTGGTCAGTTGCTTTTAAGGCCTTTCCCCCTCAGTTACTTTGTACATGTCATCAATTAGTAGGGTGATGGGAGAGGAGGAGGATTTTAGGCATAATCCTTAGACAGGTGATGCCCCTGTTGTTAAGTCGACAAATCCTAGCCTTGGTTGCCAACCTCTTGTACACTGTGGCATAGACAGAAAGTGTATTTCCTCTGCAGTAAACCAAGGAGGCTCCATGGGACTGCCGGTGATCTGTCATTGCTGGTAAGCCATCTCCTGCTGGAAGTCGTGCTGTGGGCACATGCCTGCTTGCTATGTATAGGAAACATTCTGTTCACATGTAAGCTTTTATTGATAATTACTATTACGACCTGGCTATTTGTTCTATAAAGAGTTTTTGTTTGTTTGGGGTGCTGTCCTGAGAGAATTAGGAGCAGCTGCCAGACCAGTCATTGGAATGATTGAAGTCCAGTATGTCATCTGGCTCAGCGATGAGGAAAGGTAGAAGTGTTAGTGGTCAAGGGTCAGTGTGGTTTAAGATTCTCACAGGAGGTCAGGCAGCTGGTGAGAGTCTGCTCATGACCTTCCCTACCTTCCTTTGTGCCTATTCCAATTTTTTCTATAGTCAAATTCTGCCTTCTTTGTGACATCTTCTCCAGCAGGTGAAGGTCATTCACCCTCCTCTCTTCTGCTGTTACACCCGGTAATCGCTCTGTTTATCATATTCCCAACACTGTGTTGTTATGTTTCCCATGTCTCTCTCTCCATAGACTGGGATCTCCTTGAAGTTCAGCGTTTGGTTAATCTTTGTAGCTCAACCCACACCCAGCTCATTTCATCATAATCCATCATTAGGCAGGGCGTGAGTGTTGTTTGAAATTTGTTTCCCTGTGCCTTTCTCCCATCAATCCTCATTCTGACATCTCAAACTCCAAATAAAATTCCTTTTATGCTGTTCATTCATACATTTGAATGATAAACCTACCACGGATGGCTCCAGACAGTCTTTGTATCTCTGAGCTAAACATGTTTACTGTTGAAATTTTACTTGCCTGCTGTTTCTTTTCCTCTTCAGTAAGTACTGTATACTGTTTCCTTTCCCTCCTCTCCCTCAGTGATAGAACTGTCAGAACTGGAGGAAACTAGAGTTTACCTGACCCAGGCCCCTCCTCTGACTATTAATACTACTACTTACATACTGATTAAGTAATTGAAACTGAGATGCAGAGAAATTCGAAGCAACACAGATGTTTTAATTATTTCACTGAGAATAATGAGAAAGTTGAGATTTAGTAGATTCTGAAAAGTTTTTTTCGTCTCTAATTCTGCTTTAAAATGTCTGTGCTGCTGGGTATCTCAAAAAAGGGAAATTTGGAAAGAAACGTTTTATACTGCAGCAGTGTCAGAGATCTTCGGACTCTTACTATTAAGGACGTGACTATAAAGCTGAGCCACCTGGGCTTCAGTCCTAGACCTGTCACATACTAGCTGTAAATTACGTAAGCTTGGGTTAATTACTTATCTGTATGTGCCTCGGTTTCCATCTAAAACAAGGTTAACAATAATGTAGGTGTCACAAGGTTTAAATGAGTTACTTCTTGCAAAGCAGTAAGTATTGTGCCTGGCACATGATAAATGTTCAGTAGATGGCAGCTCCCACTGCTGCCACCAACATCACGACTGCTACATTATAATCCTACTTCTCGTGAGTTACTCAAGTGCCTAGTGAGATATGGAAAGCCCTGTTAAAATTCTGGTAGAAGCTTACTATTAATAAAACACATACTTAATGATAGAAGCTTCTTGTCTTAACGAGAGGCCTTACATACCACTCCCTGCACTGAAGCATGATTTGATGTAGAGCCAGGTGTCCTCAAACTACAGCCCACGGGCCACATGCGGCCCCCCAAGAACATTTATCCAGCCCACTGGGTGTTTTTGCCGCTGCTGCCTGTCCTGCTTAGCAGCCGACTCATCCTGGGGCCCACAGTCTGGCCCTCCAGTGGTCTGAGGGACAGTGAACTGGCCCCTGTTTAAAAAGTTTGAGGACCCCTGGAATCGTTATCACACCTATGGAGTAACAGAGTGTTTTGTTGTGAGATTTTACTATACATGCAATTTAAGAAATGGCAGAAGACCCATTAGCTTTTGGAGTCGTCTCCTTTGAGACCAACTTTCATTTCCTTTCTTTTTAGAAAGAGTAAATTAATTTTTCTTATTGACATTCTGTAAGTAACATGCTTATTATCAGCTTTATTTCTGTGGGATGTCATGTTTTAAAGTGGATTTAATTTTCTTAGTAAACTGCTTTTCATAATGCACCAGAGTAAATTTTCCTCCTCTTCTATCAGGTTGCTATCAAGATCATAGATAAGACCCAGTTGGATGAAGAAAACTTGAAGAAGATTTTCCGAGAGGTTCAAATTATGAAGATGCTTTGCCACCCCCATATCATCAGGCTTTACCAGGTAGGATTGTTCGGCCCCACCAGGTAGTGGTGTAGTGAGTGGCTGCCAAGAACCTAGGATGGTCAGTGTATCTATGGCTGCCTTTGAAGAAAACGTGGGTGGGTTAACATCAGCGCCTTTTTTTATTTCTATGTTCATGTGTTCATCCTAGTATCTTCCCCACTTTCTAATTTATTTCCCCACTCAGTGGTTAGTATCTTCATGTTTTGCTTTACCCCAGTAGATCTTTTTAATTTGTTCTTCAAAACTTGATGCCATTCTCAGCAAGAATTACACACAAAGATTATTCAGAAGATAACTTACTTAGGTCAGAATTCTAAAACAGGATGGGAACTCCAAAAGAAACAGAATTTAGCGAAGTGAAAAGCTAAAAGATGAATATAACATTATTTTTGCAACAGCATTAAAAAATTCCTGTGATCATGTGATGAATTGTGATGGCAAAGGATGTTTTAAGTATTGCTACTGCTTCTTACGTCAGTGAAAACCTACCTCTTTTCTGTTCTAATAAAGTCTTGGCCTCAGTTTTGCAAGGTAGCATTTAATTGTTTTGATAAGATACTGATTCTGAGTAATAAGAGAGCTTTCTATTTTAGTTTCCTTACCTTCCCAAGAAATGTGCCTGGTTCATGCCGTCATCAAAATAATTCCTCTCTTAACTGTAAATCTGATGCCTGTAATTTCAAGCCAGATAGGGGAGGACTTTGCCTTAGCAGGCTGGTGGAAAAGACATTTTGGAAGAAGTGGGGCTTTGGGGCGCTTCTCAAATTGCAGCTTTGGCGGCCCAGAGTTCTACCTCTTTGCAGGGCCAGCACCACTCCCTGCTTTCTGCCAGAACAACCATCTCCCAGTTCTGAAAGAAGTGGCCACCCACTCAGTTCATTAGCTGCTGTTGGGCTGCAGTAAATGGTTACTGGCCCAGACCTGGGACCGTGTGTAAGAGTGGAGAAAGCACACCCAAGGCACAATGGGCAAGCTTTCATAGCCTGTTATGTTTATGGAAAAGAAAACATGTCATGATGTTAGTATGTGCGGTTAAGGCTACAGCTTTAGTTTTCCCTGGCATCAGCTGCTCACATAATGAAATGAATTAGGTTAGCAGGAACAGACTTGTTGAAATTTATCAGACTAAATTATGTTGAACAACACCTACGTTCTGTCCCAGAAGTAAACTTGTAAAAACTTCCTGGTGTTGCCTGAAGACCTGTGTCTGGGAGCTCACAGGTGTCTAACCTGGCCTCCTTCCTATCCTGGTAGACTGAATAAACTTATTGACCTCACCTTTTAAAATAAGTCATCTTTACATAATTGTAGGGCTTAGGCTGACCTTTCTTAAGAAGTTGGCTAATTTGTAGGTAACAAACCAAATTCTGCAGGCTTGCCTGTCTCACCCAGTATTTCATTAGCCTCTAAGTATTTCCATAGTTCTAGCCCTGGCCTTTGAACATTGTCTTCTTTTAAGCTTTAATTTTGCTTTCTGGCCACTTGTGTTCTTAATGGAAGATTCTGAGCTGCCCTGGTGAATGTCTAGCAAATTGTCATCATATGGTGTCAAAGTAGTTTGAGGTCCATCTCTTCAGGTTTATAGAGTGAACAAATAAAGATAATTATACAGAAAACAACAGTTTTTGAACTCCTAAGATGTTTAATTATAAAAGAACATTTGCAGTTAGTAAAAGGCCTTGGTATTACAATGGACATATATGACGACCTTTGTGTTCTAAACATCTACATATATTTAAAGCATTTATTTTGTCTTATAAATCAACATGTGGAGAGGGCTCAGAACCAATACACAGGTTAATATTACCAGTATATAGAGAATTTTGTAAGAGGAAAAAGAAGAATGGAAAAGAATAACACAGCTATTAGATTGGAAAATTAAATCAGTATGTTCTCATACGATGGAATACTATGAAGGCATTAAAAAGAAGAGATAGATTTATGTATTATAGTGTATAATGCTATTATATGGCATTAATGCATAAAAATAATAAAGTAACTGGATATTAATTAACTGTAAAGTTTAGTGAACAGAGCTGTGTTGTCCAATATGGTAGCCCCTAGCCACATGTGGCTATTGAGTGTTTAAATGTGGCCAAGGAAGTGACTTTTTAATTTTATATAATTATAGTTAATTTAAATGTATAACCAAAGCCATTTACTATTTCTAAAGATGTTGAAATTACACCATTTGAGTCATATTGGAGTAAGTAAAATATATTAGATTTATTTTCACCTTTTTCTTTTTACTTCCCTCGGTAGAATGCTGTGGCATCAGAGCTCACAGCAACCTCAAACTTTTGGGCTTAAGCAATTCTCTAGCTTTAGCCTCCCAAGTAGCTGGGACTACAGGCATCTGCCACAAGGCCCAGCTATTTTTTAGAGACAGGATCTCACACTTGCTCAGGCTGGTCTCAAACCTGTGAGCTCAGGCAGTCCACCCCCCTCAGCCTCTCAAGAGTGCTAGGATTATAGGCATGAGCCACCACGCCAGCTTACTTCTTTACTTTTTAAATGTGGCTACTAGAAAAGTTGACCTCATATATGTGGCTCACATATTTCTATTGGACAGCACTGTTCTGGAAGGATACATTATATAATAAGCTATTAACATGTTCCTCTGGGGTGTGAGACCGAGAAGATTGGGAAGAGGAAAACATTTGGTTATATATTAGATATTTCAAATGTTTATAATGAGGGTATCTATGCATATTATCACTTAAAAAACATTGATGGAAAAGGTCAAAAGGAAGAAAGGACTGACACTACAGTAAAAACAATTTTAAGTAGCAAAGTAGAGAACAAGACAAAATACAAATAACTTACATTACTTAAAAAGTTGAATATTTTAAATTATTTGTCCCTTTTTTCGAATTAATAGGCAGTGGAAAGGAAAAGATATTATTTCTATTTTAATAAGAAAGCCATATCTGATTTCTGTGCACTTCTTAAGTGATTCCCATTATTTTCCTTAAGGCTTTCTTTGTTTTGGTTTGGTTGTGAGGGGACATTTTTGAGCTTCAGGTGATCAGTGTCGAATGTGAACTTTTTGATTCTCAGCAGCTTCTTAGTTCTGCGGAGCTGAAGAGATCGCAGAGACCTCCTGGACCCACACAAGGACCCTCTCGAGGAGTCAGTGTTCTCCTACGTTTAAGAACTTAGAGGAGTGTCTTATTTTCTCCCTTTCTTCTTAAAAACGTTTATATTTGTTTTTCCCCAAATGTTTTAAATTTTCTGTAAGCAGTAGTGGTTATTTATATTTCAAGTGACAAAAGAGGATTCGTTAGTTTCTCTTCCTGTGATATCAGCCTGTCATTTGTGTCACTGTCTGTCACTTTCCTGCCTTTGCACCAGGTTATGGAGACAGAGCGGATGATTTATCTGGTGACAGAATATGCTAGTGGAGGGGAAATATTTGGTAAGTACATTTATTGCATTCTTTACACAGCTATTGCGCACCCGATAGCAGACCTAAAATAGCTGTTTGTGCCTCTGTCAGGGCAGCTGTATCTTGACGCTGTCCTTCAGCCCTGTCATTTTCTGTCAACAGAGTAATTTTAATTTGTTTTGATTAACCGATTAAAGTGCTCCCAGCATCTTTGTTTCCTCAGCAAAGGAGTTTTGTTTGTTTCAGTTGGTGTGTTTCAATCAGGTGCTGACAGTGGAGATTAGAGATCTCTCAGAACAAACCTCCGTGCAGAACACGCGACTGAGGGTCTCTCCTGTTGCACGTCCTGACTGAGGTTACTGAGTGTGCGGCCTCTGGGGTGTGAGCGTGCCCCACTTGGAGAGTCTCACCCTCATGCATCTTGACACTTTGTTCAAATATAACATGGAGCTCTATTCCTTACCATGTGTTCACAGCTCCCCTCGATGATTCTTATCATTTTGGAGGTTTTGCCTTCAGTAGATATTTTTTTTCTCCCAAACTTAGTGTTAGCACAACCTTTGTTTTAGCACAACAGATAAGCAGGAGAATTTGTTACTGACAAATCTGATTTTTTGAGGTGGGACAAACTGGCATTTTTTTGTTGAAACAGAGTCTTGTTCTGTTGCCTGGGCT